CTTTCATCTTCTGTGTCATTTCTCGGAGTTGCTCATTTTCCCTTGTAAAAGAACCTTTCTGTCCAAGAAGTTCTTGAATAAGATCCTCATATATGTTGCAGCTCTTTTTCAGCTTGGTGACCCATGTTATCCACTCTTCTGGGGTACTTCCTAGGCCAACATTTTGAAAGGTTTGACTGATCTTCTGAAAATCTTCATGCATGGTTTTCATTTTTGTGCTCCATTTCTTGTTTTGGTCGTTCAAGTCCTTCAAATAACATGCTTGAGCTTCATAAAAATCTCCACTACTCTGAATGTCCCGACTGATACTCTTACCATAGACTGCTTTTGGTATCAATCTGGCAGAATCTTTGTGGAGTACTTTTGGTATTAATATAACTGGTTCTCTGTGTGCAGAACTTCCCTCGATCCTCGTAGTTTCTTCAGGATGTCTTTCCTTGGCCGCATCATATTTTGTTTGATCATAAAACTTTTTATCCATTTACGATTTCTTTCCAATATGATGAACAGTCTTTCAAGTCAACACCTTTTGGTTATGCCATGATCATGTAATGCAAACAAAAGAAATCAATATGAACAGATTAGAACAATGTAATATACATGAAAAAAAATAAAAAAATAGAATAGTTAGTACCAACTAAAAAAAAACTATATATCAATGTATAAATATTAACCTCATGCTTTCTAGTTCCATGCTTTGTTTGGAAAATTTAACTTAACCGCACGATTTCTAGTTCACATGCATTTATTCAGGAAAAAGAAAAGGAAATAAAATAAATTAAAAGCTAGAGCTTATTTCTCCTTTGTGTATACCTACTGACAAAATTTCGGCATAGTTTCAGATCGGGGGAGTTTCTAGGGTTTATTATATGCAGGTTTTCAGTTCTAGGAGTATAGGTACTCGAACTGTCCTTGTTGATGCCCCCTTGGCTATCAAACCCTCGATAGTCCATTACAGACTTAAACGGATCGAGTTCAATCGAGGGGATACATTTCTCTATGACTAACACGGAGAATAAATTCTCACGAAGACATAGAGCATATGAACCCCAAAAGTTACTTGCTAGGTCTGACACGGAGAATAATTCTCACGAATACGTCGCTTTCACTCCCACTTAAAAGGGACAAACTCAATATAGAGCTTTATGTTATGCAAGTGTTGTGTGTGAGGAGAAATGTTAAAACCTCTAACAAACAAATAAAATAATTCTTGAATATAATAAATAAATAAAATAAAAAATAATAATATATAAAATAATAATAAGTAATAAAAAATTTGAAAGAAAAGAATTAAAAATTAAATATATGAATTTTTAATTTCTAACTGATAGAGACAATTTACAATTGATTTTAAAGTTTGACTAAGTCCCCAGCAGAGTCGCCAAGCTGTCGTAACCAGTTTTCGTCCGGGCACGAAATATTTACTTGACAGGAAAAGTGATGTGAATAAATAGTTTTGAAAATAATTTGGGAGTCGCCATCGGCCTTTTGGGTCAGGTAGGTCGAATACCTAAAAAATATCTTTTAAAAGAGTTTTTAAGAAAACATCAATTAAAAGATAAACTGATATGCGTTTTAACCAAAAATTCGTTCTTTTTAATAATAAAAAAGGATTCGTGGTCGGTTACGTTTAGGGAAGGATTAGCACCCCTACAACGCCCAAAATTGGTACTTTTTAATTATAAATTGTCTCTATTATTAAAATTTAAAAAATTCAAAATATATTTAATTTATAATCATATTATTTTAAAATTTATTTATTTATTTAAAATATCAGAAAAGGACTTCTAGGTGCCTTAAGACAGCTCTTTTTAATATTAAAAATAAATAAATATTAAAAATGTAATAATTTTTCATAAAAGTGATTAAATAAAACTAAATTATAATTTTTAATTTAAGCAAATATATATATATATATATATATATATATTATATATATATATATATATATATTTACATGACTAAGATAATAATTAAAGTAATAATTTAAACATATTAAAATTAAAAGGATAATAATAAAATAAATTGCAATCTAATAATGAATAAAATAAATAAAATTAAAACTATAATATAAAACACTTAACGTTATATTAATAATAAAATACCATCTATAAATATAAGAAAAGCAATCTTTGTAAATGAATAGAATAAATACTAAAAGAAATTTATGTTTTAATAAATAGTTATATAATAAAGTCAAATAGTATTAATGTATATTATGATTAAAATGGATGAAATGGAAAGTAAATTTAAGATACCAATTATAAATAAATGCAAAGAAAAATAAAGTCAAAGATACCAACATCAAGATTACAAGTAATTAAGGAAAATGAAACATTAAAGGTGAATTAATCTGTTATGAATAGTTAATTGACAACAAATTTGGGAAAGTATTAAAAACAAAGATAATTTAAATTAAAACAATTAAATCATATTCATATAAAATTCATAGTCAACGTTGAGAATTTATAAAAATTAGTGATTAATTTATAAAATATCAAAATTAAGGGACATTATTCGAAATACCATAAAGCCTAAATATTATCAGTATAATTTAACCTATATAATTATATGGGACTAAAATTAAATTTGTTTAAAATTAAAAGGATTAATCATGGTATTTTACCTTAAGCATGTAAATATACAGATAATGATTAAAATAGAATAAAATAAAATTCGAAGATAATATTAATATGTTCATAACTTGATTTCAGTGGCAAAAATGAAAGTTTATAAACTTCAGATGACTGTGCGTTTATTTTAACTATTTTGAAATTACACCCAGACCCCTCATCAAAACGACGCCGTTTTGATGAGGGTATAAATACCCTAAAAATCGGCTCCCTTGAGCCATTTCTTTCATTTTCCATTTCAGCTTCTCTCTAGGAGAGAGAAGCTCTTCTCTCTAAAACAGAGAGGGAGACCATCGGCCGGCAGCCGTGCTCCGGTACCGTCGACCACCGCCGCCGGCCACCGTCGCCTTTGGCCGGAAAACACAAAATTTCCCCAAAATATAGATCCGAGTGATCTCAACCCAAATCTGACCCTCGTTTATCCTAAAAAGCTATGTATTTTCGCAAATCTAAAGAAATACCTTTGGTATTTCGATTTTAACGGTGGCTCGTATGGGTGCGTGGGAAAGCCGGTGATGGCGTGGCTTCCTCGGTAAGTATCTCTCTATTTTTTATTTTGATATTTGATGGATTTTGGTGGCTGTTTGGCTTTCTGGCTTCCTTGTTCTCCTCTCCGTTTTTTTTTCTTTCTTTGCTCTGTGTCTTGGTTGCTCTCTTTTTTCTTTCTGGTTGTTTGTTGTCCCCCTTTTCTTTTTTCAAGTTGGGGTGGTGGCTTTTATAGCCACCACCGTTGTAGCCGTCGGACCGGTCCGAAGAGGGGGTCTCGGTGAGTCATCGGACTACCAGTGGTGACTCACCCCGTAGCCGTGGCGTGGACGGCTGGCGTTGGAGCTTCTGGAGCGTTCGGTTGGGGACGTGGCAGCGGCGGAGGCGGTGAGATAGCAACGGCGGCCGCATGTCCCTAGGGTATCAGACCCTAGGGTTTCCATCTGGGGCAATCTGGACCGTTGGATCGTGCCAGATCCAACGGTTGTGATGAGGCGGCTGGTTTAGATTAGGGTTAGGAAACCCTAACTAGAAACCCAAATGTTTAGGGTTTCTGGTTTGATTTGGACCGGTTCTGGTTTGTTTGTAACTGGGCCGGTCCAGTTGTAATTGGTCTGTAATTATTATTTATAATAATAATAATAATAATAATAATAATAATATGGATAAAAAATTAATATCTTCACGGAGTATCACATTATTCCTCTTAATTGATAGAATATTATAAAGTTACTTAATCTGAGATCTAACAATTTGTTTTCAGCGTTAGAGACTTACCATTTCATCATGTCATATATATAAGGCTTTAGAGCGATAGTGACAAATCGTATGGTGTTACTGTTTTTCTTTTATAACGTCGTCTGGGATTTAAACTCTAATGAAGTATCGCATTGTTCCTCTTAATTAACAGAATATTATTAAGTTACTTAAGCTGAAATCTAACAATTTGTTTTCACCGTTAGAGGCTTACCATTTCGTCATATTTAGAGGGATAGTAACAAATCGTATAGTGTTACTGTTTTTTCTTTATAACATCGTCTGGGATTTAAGCTTTAACGAAGTATCACATTGTTCTTCTTATTAATAGAATATTATTAAGTTACTTAATCTGAGATTTAACAATTTGTTTTCATCGTTAGAGACTTGTTATTTCGTCATGTATATAAAATTTAGAGTGATGGTGACAAATCTTATGGTGTTACTGATGACTTCAAAGAAGAGCATCAAGGCTGTGTGAGATAGGAGAGGATTGAAGCGATGTAATTTGAAATAAAAGATCTACTGTTGAATCGGGATGTATCGTGAGAGGAGTTTAATTTCAGTATTCCTTCTAATCAGGATGGAAACCTACATGATTTTACCTTCCTCTATTTTAAAGGTCAAGTTTCATCTTTTTCATGAAGATCTTCTCATGCACGTATAGCAATTTGTTTTAAAGGTCGGTTTCATATTTCCCAAAGCACGTATCTATACGTTTATAATCGAAGGCATTTGCTGAAGTAGCTATACGTGCTTTAGGAAAGGGAATTAGAGTTCTTCGTTTTCTTGTACAGCTGTTGAAAGTGCAGTAAAAAGTCAATGATTTGAATTTCTTGAATCAACCAAACCACTTGATATTCCGGCTTCCAAAGCCATTCATTCTGATCAAGGAAAAAAAGTTGAACATGAATTGGATTCTTAGATTTAGAACTGAGTCAACAAAGTACTTCCATTACAACAAAGATAAACAAACAGAATTCAAAACAATGAAAAGCAACATATATATATATGTATTCCCACCCCATTCTAAAAGGGTATTTGCAGAGTTCGTCTTATATCACATTTTGGTTTTGCTGGACCGATCACGTACAACCCCTTCCTCATCAACATCATTGAAAGTTTTCAAGGTAGCATCAATGGCTCCTGCCGGGGATTCTCCTCCACCGAAACCACCACAGAAAATGGCGGCGGCACGTAACTCTTCGAAATAAGCACCGGAACAAATCCATTGTACAATGTCTCCACAATCCTCGGACTTGCAACTTCGTAACCACTCGAACAAATGCAGTACTTACTATTTCTCATCATATCATGGTAATTAACACCTTTCAGAAGGTATTTATGTACCTTAATGTCTTCATCCTTTCCTTCCCAATGCTCGAGTAGGACGGGTCTTATTGGACCTTGAACCCCTCCAGCAAAGAATGCCAAGATACTACGCTGAGAAGCCGATGGTCCCCCGATCAAACCGGTTAATTTGTCATTTAAGAGATTGATTTCTGGAATCGAGACATCCTTAACTGGCTTGAGTCTTTCGGAAGTGTTTGCATTGCATAGAGCTTGAATGGAGTTCCATACAAGGTAAGGAAGTGAAAAGCTAGCCAGAGGCCCCTGCATATAAAACCAACCAAACCTCAAGCTCGAATTTGAATCAACTACGATCATGATGCTGAAATGATACAAAGCTAACCCAATCGTGACAGGCGACTATGAAATAATTGGCACCGTGGTTTCGATTCCAGAAAGGGTATTTCTGCGCAACGAGATTGATGTATGCAACGACGGTCCTTCGAACGGGACTAAAATCACAGGTGTCGCGCGGGAAAACGAATCGGACCATCTTTGCTACACTGAATGGGAGGTAAAAGACATGAGCTTTGTGGGGATCATTAGTTTGAAATTTGGAATCAACATCCATCTGATAAATGAAATTTCCTTCCATGGAATATATGCTCTTGCAAGGACCATCATGAAACACTGGAGGCTCCCCTTCTTTGTAAAGAAAGACCTTGAATTGTTTCTCCATTTCCTGGTGCTCCTGTATATTATAGATTAAAACTACTTAGAAGTCGCGAATGTTCGTAATCGAATCGAAGGGTACACAAAGACAGAGCCAAGATTCCAATCAAAGGGAGTAAAATATAACTAACCATAAAAAATGGGGCAAAGTATAACTAAAATGAAACTGCAAGGATTCTTGTCAATTTTTGTATGATTTCATTTCCAAGTGGGCATTTTATATACACTCAGCTTTGTGTTATTAGATGGGATCTAAAAAGCGTCTTGTCATTTGTCAATGTACTTAATCACTCTTATTGGATAACCCTACTCTTCATAATTAACCAAAACGAAACATTATCTACATCTAACATCAATTTCTTTCATGTTATGTCCCTCTCTATTTTGTTATTTTCTGAATAAAAAACATCAATATTCTTCATTTCATTATTTTCCTCTTCACTTTTAGAGATGTATTTCAAAATTTGTCCTCCATTCAAATTTTAAGAGTTTATCTCAACATAAAATCTTATGTCTTTCTTGATTATAATCTTATATCCGCTTTTGGTTATAATTTCAAGCAAGTTAAGGGCGAAAAGAAGAGATGTAAATAGATAGAGATACCTGTGGAAGGCCATGGAATCCCAATACATAGCTTCTGTAGGGATATAGTCAGGATCCTGTAATTGGCTCCCGCCTTTAGCTTCTTTTATGGCGGATCGAGCTCTTTGTAGCCCTGCTTCGACCTTATCCAATTCGGTTTGAACTTGTTTGCTTTGTTTCAAGGGGAGACCTATTGATTCATTTTGCGATATTGTCGAAGCATTTCCTGCCGGGTTCAGGGTAATGTTTAAGCCATCTTCCTTTCTTTCATTCTGCACCATTAAGCCAATATGGATCATTTCTACTAATTTCTGAGAATAATTGCAAATGTTGAAATATGAGTGCAATTACTTAAAACAAACAAACAATGGGGTAAGCTTCAGATTATAGGTCTGACCAACCAACACAACTTCCAAGACTTCAAAATGGGAAATAGAACACTATACTTCTCATATGACATACCAAATTTCAAGCAGTTGATAAGGGGATAATGATAACAAAAGGGAAGAACTTGATGATTAAAGAGTTTTTAACAATAATTATTTTATGATTAATCCCAAATATGCACAGCAGCAGGCAATTATAGATGCTGACGATGATAAGCATTATATTTGAAGGAATCTAACAGTAACGAAGAAAGGACAGATACCACTACTTGTTGAATTTTCGTCACTGCTTCAACAGCATGTAGCAGTGAAGCTGAGCGGTTAACCGCCGCTTCTCCTAGGCTGCTCCCAACATCCATCGTCTTCACCGCCGCGGAAAGCAGTTCCATTGCTTCTTCAGTCCTTTCAGCAGGCGCAGCTGAATCAAGCTTATCGATTCCATTTGCGGCAGCAGCAGAGGTGGAAGAAGAGAGGCTTGATATCAAATCCCAAGTTGAGTTTCTCGGGACCAGAACAAAAACAACGAATGATGCCAGAATCAGTGGAATTATAAAGAACAAAAACTTGATTTTTGATGATGAAGAAGAAGATGATGGTGTTGGTGTTGTTAAAAAAACAACATGCTGACCAACTTTGACCCATCTTGAGAGGAATTTTACATTATCTTAACGGATTTGTATCTGAATTGTAAAATCTGTAGTGGTAAGTGAAGAAATAGGTGGAGATGAAAGGAGTGAAATATGCTTTCAGAGCTCATGCCAAGCGTCCCCTTTATTCCATGCAAATTTTCCATCTTCCAATGCCACCCCTCTCCCGTCACCGATTCTCTATTTAATTCTCCCTTCACGCTCCTTTCTGAACGCGCGTATCCTGCTCTGTTTTCGGATGATCCTCTGCCTGCGTCTGTTACTAATTGTGGTTTCATTTAATAAATGTACATAAGAATAAATTTAAGCTAAGTATAAATTATATGAATAAAAATCATATTTGTTTTTATAAGTCTAAAGGAGATGAACTTTTTCATCCATTATATATATTTTGATTACGAACAGTAAAAAAGAAGTAAGCTAGTACCAGAATTCCGGATTCCTAGTGCTCCAAAGGGCAATCAGCAGTGAACAAACATCGCACCTCCTCCCACGGTGTAGGGAGGTCTGAACACCAAAAGGTAACGCCCATACTATCTTTACCAAACCCTCAACGATCTGATTACGTTCCCTCGATACAAAGTTCGGGTTCTAATCTAGTCGGATCAAGTTACAATACAAGGTACTAGCGACGAAACTCTATCTATTTCTTCTTCTCGTAGAAGCAGTTTTAAAAATTCTTTACTATCTATTTCAACCACAATATTTTATATTCCGAGGTCCTTCGCCATTCAAGACTAGTAAGCACTCCCTGTAGTTCGGCTTCCAATATCAAACAACGACTTTCGTAGAGCTTGAAATCCAAGCTTCATTAGAGTCACGCAGTATTCCGTCACGAGCTGTCATTCCCGTCTCATTTTTCCTTGCACCTTTTCATCCATTATATTACTAATTATATATTGATATGTTTGACAAGGAAGAAGGAAAAATTGAAAGAAAATTATATATAGTTTTTATTTATTGTTTGATAAAGTTATAAGTAAAAGTAAATAAATCTAAACTGTAAAAAATACATTTTAAATTAATTTAACTCTTTTTCATACTAAAAAAATAACTCTCTTTCATATTATCTTTTTATATTTTTTTCACATTGAAATGATTTCTTTTACACTAAGAATAAAAAAGTAACTTTTTCGTATTTTTCTTCTCACACTTCTTTTCTTACTAAACACAGAGCAGTTATTTTTTTCCATACCCTGTTTGTTAGTTATTTACAACTTTAAAAATGTTTAAAGAAAATTTAAAAATAATGAGAGTACTACTCAAGTTAAAAAGATAAAGTTCAAATGGATGGAAGAGATGGATGACATATTGTTAAAAAAAGGACATGAAATTAAAGACTGTTGTTAAAATTGATGATCGATCAAATTTGCTCTTGAAATTTTAGGAGTTTTATTTTAAAAATATATATTATTTTATTTTAAATCTATTTTATATGCACAAACTTGAATTTAGGGGATGAATTTTTATATATTTTACTTTTATATAATTGACTTATTTTTTTTATCATATCATATTTTAAAAATTCATTTTATTTATATTATATTTCTATATTTATTTTCCAATTTTAAATTCATAAAAAAAGATGGTTATATTATAATTTGGTTTTCTATAATTAAATTCCTTAAACTTAATTTAAACAAAAAATCTTATTCTAATACATATATCAATACAGTTCTAGGTTTCAAACTAAATTATGTAATGTATAATATAATCATAAAATCAAATATATAATATAAATATTTTTCATACCTATATTTTTCTTCTCTTCCAATGTTTCCTCTAACTTTTCATCGTCCTCATTTTCTTTCCTCTCTACAAGAGGAAACCTTAATTTCCAAGTCTAAAACCTTCATGTACAAGAATGGAGTTGTAAATATGGCACCATACAAACAGATTATGAGAGCAACAAGCTTACAAGATGACAGCTTTTTCAACTGATTTTGAGAAATCACCATCAACATAGTAGTACAAGTCCTTTAAAGCATGAAGCTCACACACACACACACGCACACGCACACATACACACATATATATATATATATATATATATATATATGTGAATTTCAGACATAAAAGTAAAGCGTACATGGCAAGAGAAACTAGTCATCTAATATGGCCAACTGTAACCAAAACCCTAACCACTCTTATTGCAAAAACTCCCATAAATTACAAAAATGATTTCAGGAATGTGGCCATCACCTGCTATTCCAGTAGCAGTTTAAGAGGATTGGAAGCCCCTCCGCGAATGATGCTTTAACATGTGCATTAGGAACGTGACTACTGTTGGAACCAAATCTGATCAATGCATCAAAAGTTGAAAATTCTCGTCATTGTTTACCACTACGTAGTCATATCCGAGGCTATCAGCACGGCGGACAAACTCCTCCTCCTCACTCTTTGAGACTTGAATCCCGACTAGAACATTTGCTCCTGTTTCACCCTGTTGGATGGAATAACTCAGGATTGATATTTGCTTCAATAAAAAAAGGAAATTAGAAAAAGATTCTTTAGATGCTAACCTGACCACGATAATGGAACAAACTAATATTCCAGCGTGGACTAAAAGTGTCTAAGAACTTCATCAAAGCACCAGGCCTCTCCGGGAAAACAAACTGGCATAGAACCTCATTTTCAACATTTGATCTGCCTCCCATCTGAAAGAGATGAATACAGAGAATTAATAAAGGCAAAAATCAGGTAAACTGACAAAAAGTTAATGATAGTTACCAAATACCGCAAGTGGTCTTTAACCAAATCACTTGCTGTAAGATTGAAAGTTCTAAGCTGAGAAGATTCCATCCTCTGCTTCATTGCTTCAAGTTCAGAAACCGTGTGAACACCAACACTGCAAACAGCATTGATGGATAACGGAGCGCTCTCAATTCACATATTTCTGAATAACAAATCATCCCTTGAACAACAAACTAACATGAAAGATAGCCATGGATATTAACAATCCTAAACATGTATGATCTTTTTGTATTTTGTTAGAAACAAAAACAGACCGATAACTAACCTGTACAAAACTACGGCTCCTTTATCAGAACTACATCTATACTTGAACTCAGTGATATTCATAGGCCCCACCTGTCAATCCCATGATTTAATGATTATTTTTACTAATTATTTACAAGTACAAATGAACAAAATTGATAATTTGTAGAAAGGTCCAAATTATATAAATTGCAGAGAAATACCAGTTCACAAAATTGTTTGAAGCTTCCAGGCTCCTCCGGCAAAACAGTTGCAAGCACTGCCTCCTGTTGTCTACCCACATTAGCCAGTTCAGTAACCACTCTAAGCTTATCAAAATTCATGTTTGCACCACTAGTTATTGCTACAACACTCTTCCCCTTAATGCCGTAGTATTTGCAATATGCTTCGGCTCCTGCAAGAGCTAGGGCACCTGCCGGTTCAAGAATGCTCCTCTTCTCTTCAAACATATCCTGCAACACAAACAGTGCAAGTTGTAAATCCCTAAGCATCCCAAGAGCCATGGACTAATTAGATGAACGTCATCAGGTGTCCAGTGGACACGAAATGCACCAGTCATACAGAAGGGAGAAAATGAGGGAGAAAAAAACATAATAAGAGCTTCTAACATCTTTATGGTTGAGAACAAATAATTAGAGAACAAATTATAAAGTACACGGGCCACTCACTTTTCCCACAAGATTAATAATAGCACATCAGCAAAAATGCATCTAAAATTCAAGTCAAAACCCAAAATTTGAGAGACAAATCAGAACCTGTTTACCTTCGTTTGAGCCAAAGGCACATCCTAATTCTGAAAATACTACACGTAAGGTTTGCGTAGTTCAAAAGACAAAACTGTATCATACAAGGACAGAAACACTAAAAGTACAACCGAAGTAAGGTCTGATTGTGATGTCCAGTCTTTTAACAATTGATAGGAGAAAAAGGAAAAGCCAAAGTGAATCAATGCAAAATTTGAAACATCAACGACCATACCTTAATAGAGGCACAAATAGCATCACGGCTTACAAGAACAACACCATCCACCAATTCCCTACATATGCGGAAGGTTTCTTCACCAACCTCCTTAACAGCTACTCCATCTGCAAAGCCTCCAACCTTGTCCAGCATCACTCTTTCACCATGATGCAGTGACAATGCCATTGCATTTGCATCAAAAGGCTCCACTCCGATAATTTTCACCTGTAAAATAATACGACACTTAGTGCTGTGGATGAAATGATGAATTAAGTCATGTCGCATGCAACATGCTTGCACAGTGTAATTTCAGACAAAAGTAAACAAAAGAAAAGAAGTTTAAATAAGCTAAAAGCCTGAACTACTGATATAAAAAACAATTTCATTTTTGGTTTGGGGGGAGGGGAATATGAAAGTGAATTGATACTTAAGTTCTTGCAATAGTATAACATAAGGTTTCAGTTATGCACTTGACAAGTGTGCTGGAGGTAAGGTCTCTTGTAACACCAGACATTACTAGAAAGTAAAAAGTATTTAAAAGAAGCTTGATGGCCTATTAATAGCCAAACACAGGAAAATGATGCATGCTTCTATCTCTCCAACTGTTCTAATTCATATTTTTCCGTAAGGCAATACTGCATCAACACATAACACCAATAGGAAACTTTCCTAAGACAGTTTCATCTGAACAGAATGTCTGTCATGCTATGTCGACAGGGGAGCCCAGAAATGAAATAAGCTGCCACAGAATTGGAAATAAGAAGATTAAAGCAAGTCCATATAGCAGCAACCATCTCAAAGATCAGCTTTAACCAAAAAAGCAATTAAATTGTGTCTTGGAATTACATATGATGGTTCAACACTCGAGAGGTATGAAAAAGGAAAGAAATCAAGGATCATGACGTGGCATGCACTTGTCATCTACTAAGAACTATGCCAAGCTCCAGCATAATGAAATAGCAGATGCTTACAAGAAGAAACAACATACCTCTGGGGAAACCCTCTTTACATAAGCAGAAATACCTGCTATAAGCCCACCACCACCAACAGGTACAAAGATTGCATGCAATGGGCCTAGTGTTTGGCGCACAATCTCCATCCCAACAGTGCCTTGTCCAATAATAACGTCTGGATGATCAAATGGCGGTACAAACGTGAGACCTTCCTCTTTAGCCCTTTTCTTAGCATATGCTTGTGCCTCATCATAAGAATCTCCAATAAGAACAACGGTTGCACCCAACCTCTCAACAGATTGCCACTGCAAAATAAGAAATCCCCGCTCAACTTTAGAAATCTTATAAGCGATGTAATCAATAATACATGAAAATCACAAAAAAAGGGTACCTTAATTTCTGGAGTAGTAACAGGCATAGCAATAACAGCATGACATCCGAGTCTCTTGGCAGAAAATGCAACCCCTTGGGCATGATTTCCTGCTGATGAACAAATAACCCCTCTTTCTAATTGTTCCTTGGGAAGCTTTGCCATCATATTATAAGCTCCACGAAGCTTAAAAGAGAAAACCTGAAAATTTGAAACATCGAATCTGTAAGCACTTCATCTGAATGAATATGAAAAAGCATACACCTCCAAAACATGTCAAAGTTCCTCTTTCAAGTTTATACGCAACTACAAAAGTAAAACGTTTCCGTTCTGGCTATTCATTAACATATTCCACTGAAAAAAGACAATTCAACTAAAAATCATGCGAATATTTACTCGCAACAAAAATGTATCTCAAGTACATAAATCAAAATCAAGAAGAGCTAAATTCAAGCTGGAAAAGGAAAAGACAAAAAACTCTATCAAGCTCAATAAAAGTAAAGCAAAAGCATAGATTATAAACAGTCCTAATCTGCCAAAATCCCACTAATCATAGAAACAATTATCATTAGAAATGAAAACAACAGCCAACAAAAGTCATCACATCCAAAGAAATATAAACTAAAAACCAAAAAATAATCTTTTTTCTTACAGGCTGCAAGTCTTCTCTCTTGAGCCAAACTTGATTGCCCAATCGTTCGGACAGCTTAGTCGCCAACTGTAACGGTGACTCGATCGCCACATCGTAAACCTTGGACGACAATATATTTGTTAAATACTCCATCGCATTTATTACGTCCCCATTTCCTTCATCCATCGAACGTTCAGGTGAAGCACCTAAGTACCCTGACGGATACTGCAGGGAATTACTAGGCACCTTCTTTCTCGGCGCGGAAGGAGCGGCTGCAATGCTCGACGTGGACGACGAAAGGACAGCGTTCTCGCCAGAAGTAACGGTCGGATAAGAGATCTCAGCCGTCGGTTTTGACACGGCGGCTCTGATCCAAGGCAGGTTGGGATTACCTTTCTTTGAAATATAGGGGCCAAGAAAGGATGTTTGTGGGACACTCTGTTTGTGGCGGAGTAGGAGTGGCTGAGGCGGCGTGAGGCGGAGAGCCTCCATTGTCTTTCAATTTTTCTGAAAAATTAAGATGAAAAAACAAAAGGTAAAAGCGAAAATGCGTTCTCTAAGTCAGTCGGCCATGGAGGGACCTTATATATACGAGGGTTTTTTTCCTCCTTTTTTGTTGTTGAGCAATTTTGCACTGTACAAAGCTGCCAATAAATATTTAATAATTGATGCGTGGTTTGAATGAAGCAGCCCTATTACTACAGCTAAAAAGATAAAAATAACTTATTTCTTTTATTTTATCGGATATATTACGCCGGCGGTCAAATAACTAATAGTATATTTACATATTAGTCCTTATATTATGAAAACTTACAACTTCATCATTCCACTAATCTACTTCTTATATTTAGTCACCCCTCATTACAACATCATTATTAGTACCTTCAATGGAGAAACATTAAACTTGAACGGGATATCGTTTAGAGAACTAACAGAATCTGCTGTTGGAGCAGCATTAAGGAACCTGACCAGCAGAAGAACGATGCAACATGAAATTAGACAAATAGTTTATTGCAAAAATCAGATACACCATAAAAAAGAAAAATTACTGAATTGCAATATATTGAAGGCAGATGCAGCAACTTGAGGAACTTTAGTATGTAAACCTTGCCCCATCTCAACACCACCGTGTGTAATAAAACAGTTCCATCGGTGTAGACATTAACAAGAGCTCCAGCCTACAGTGATTGAAAAGATACTTTAAAAAAAATCTGGTCATTGAGATAAACACGATTATGAATGAAATACAGCGAAAGAGAAATCCCCCATATTTTTCATAGCATACACATGTTGCTTCTTTCATATACTATGTACAAGTATTAACTTTATTTGTATTGTTATAATTTTAAGCAGGAAAGCTGTAGTCATCTTGACAAGCAACAGAAATACATGCATGTTACTCGATTAAATAACTTAGTTGTAAATGATACGACCCGATTAAAGAACTTAGTTGTAAATGATACGCATATTTTGTTGGAATCATGGAAACACCATGCTTCTTCCACCGGTTATGAAGATTAAATTCATCAACTTCTTCTCGAACCTTCAGAAAGTCGCAAGATGCTTTCTGCTCTTTCCAGACCTGAGCCAGAGTACAGTGTTCTAATTGTTGACCGTAATGCATTATTGATCCTTCGCCTTGAAAGTTAATCTCCTCGGAATACAGTGTTTCTTGAAAAATTAGTGAAGCAAACATTTCCAAAATCTCTGACATTTGGTATCTCATAGACATTGTCCGAGTGAAACATAGCACGCTCAAGTACCCCAGGGGAATGATCCAGTGAATTTCCAGCATTATTGTATATTTCAAGATCCAAAGCCAATGCTTTTCCCTTGTAAATCAAACCTATATGAAGTAATTTTATTCTACTGTTATACAATATTGAAATGTTTCCGTAGATTGATTCATCATGTTATGGAACTTAATAGGCAGTACCTTGTAGTTTCTGAGAAAGCTGTAGCGCTGCCCTGTTGTAATCATGTCTATGTCTCTATCCAGTTTCAAGTTCAGTGGCCTATTCATCAGATAAGATGGCACAGCAGCAGCGGCAGCAATGAAAGCTGATCTAGTCTCCTTCCCACCGAATTCACCACCAACCCTTTTAGTTTTACAAACTATTTTTGACATAGGAAAACCAAGAATGATGTAAAGAGAAGACATAAGATAAAGCATTTAGTCAACAGAGACTCTTGGTGCCTCTTTTGGTGCCCCCACTAATTATTTTTCCGATACGTAGATTAGTCTATTAACTCATCATTAACAGATTTATGCCGTTAACATCTATTGATATTTTTTCCAGAAAAAAATCCTTTCTCAGTTAATATCATTTTCAAGTATGAGTTAACAATTCTAGTATATGAGGTGAATAGAAGAAACACAAGTAATGAAGTTATAAGTTTTGGCAATCTTACTTGAGTGGCCGAAATCATATGAACTTCATTACCACAGTCCATTGTCCAAACTAAGTTGGTCTTTGTCTCCATGTAGAAGTGTTCTTGACCTCCCACTCGAACTTTCCCCTCTATGATATTTTCACATTCATCTGTTTGGAAACATAGATCTACATCTCCTTTACTCATAAACTTCTGTGAGTTGGGATGAAAACTTTTGCACTGATTGAATCCTCTATTGACAAGATTGCTGGGAGCTCTTCATACTCCACATGAACTTTTCCAGCGGCTAGTTTAGTGTTCTCATGAGTATCAGCCACCACAATTCCTATAACATGTATAAATTTTCCAGTGCAATGTGCTTACGGAAACATATCGGGGAATTCATTCGGCTCTCCCCTGATTAGTATGAGTAGATTACTAAAGTTCAGCGTAAAAAGTTATCTCAAGTTTCCACCGGATGCCACATCTGATGTACCTTTTGTAATGAAAGGTTGAAGGTTGGTTTTAGTTGCTTTCTCAAGCACCTAAAGGAACCTCTATCTGTCCTCTCAAGGTTTGCCAAGGATTCTCACTAAAAATTGTTTAACTATCTAAATTGTATTCAATAAGCTTATTTACCTGCCCCACACAAGTGACAAATTCTGAAGCAAATAGCTCCTCATCCAAGACAACTGGTCCGATTTTATTACTGCCAGGAACATCCTTGGCAAAGAAGATACCGGTAAATCCATGTGAAGACTTGGCCCCTAAATCATCGATGGATAATATTCGAGATAATCTTGGAGGACATGGTATATTCTGCCTCTCCAGTAACCTGAAGTACATGGTACCATGAACACTGTCATGAAGATAATCTTGGAGATAAAACTCAGTGAAAGTGTAAGAATCAAAAGCATTTAGCCTAATAAAAAAAAAACAAAGAGAGAAAAAGAACCGAACAGAACCTGGAAGAGTACTACTTAATTTCTCAGCCATTATCCACTACAAGAAAAAAATCATACGCATATGTTTATGCAAGCAAGCATCAACAAGGTACAAACATGTGAACAGTTACAAAGCATCAGAAACTAGCATACTTTTAAAAGCAAATGTAACCAGAACCCTTCAATTTGTACTCTCCACTTAAAACTGGTTTAAATAACCTTGGAAATTACAAACCTAGTAGTAAGGAGTAGCTTGTGAATTTGCATACCTGATTTCATAGTCCTGACTTGCAACCAATAGTGAGCGGTGAAATTACTTGATGGCTGGCAAATGAGATAATGGTACATTTTCCTTCATGGATTTCTTTCCCTCAATTTGATCAGAAACCCAAAGGAAGAATTTAAAGAAGAAGCTAAGGATCAAAGATCTTCGAAACTCCACCATCCCACCAGGAGCATCTTCCTTGAGCATAATATCGGTGGATCTGAAACACCTATCTAAAACAGCCACTCTTCACCTTTCTCCTCCAGACAGACACACATTCCAGCATTCACAATGGAAATATCATCATCCCTTCTATGTGCATGGTTAAATTCTTTAACTTATTCAAAGGGCCTAGTCCAAGGTAAGAATATTGGCTACCCCGCCAATTAAGAAATTTTCTGCAAGAGTAGTTCTAACATTCCCATTGCAACCGATGCAAGAGAATAAATTTTCTTCATTGGCCACCCCGCCATAAGCAACCGATGCATCTGAAACAGACACTCTTCACCTTTCTCCTCCAAACAGGCACACATTCCAGCATTCACAATGGCAATATCATCATCCCTTCTATGTGCATGGTTAAATTCTTTGACTTATTCAAAGGGCCTAGTCCAAGGTAAGAATATTGACAATAATATTTCATTACCATTTAGATCCACTTTACGGTAGCCAATGAAGAAATTTTCTGCAAAAGTAGTTCTAAGATTCCCATTGCAGTTAATGATTCAAAATTTTGCTCTAGCAGCCATCCAGAGTGGGTTCATGTCTGAAATTGGACTAGCCGTACACACATTTCTTATTTGTGCCCCAGAAAACCACTTTAACTACTCAATGAAGGCTTTGCATGCTGATTTTTCATGAGTCGGGCGTCTAGTCACAACCGCTCGAAATAACTTCAAAAGCTCGGTCAATCGTACTGCAACACCTATCTCTATTCCATAATCCTTAACATTTAAAATATTGAGTTCAGGAACATGTGCAACGGAGATCAAAACTTGATATGGAATTCTCTTCAGCCTCATCTAGACACCGACTTCAGTATTACCTACTAACAATTTTGCAGTTGGATATTTCTCCTTCAACTCAAGCACATCTTTAATTATTAAGGGACGATACCATTTAAGCTCTCCCAGTCCACTCAAATTTAAAGGAGTTAATTTCCTTCGTAACAGCTCAGGAGGTGTTTCACTTGACCGCAACAACGCATACAATGACACGATGAATCCAGGAGTGCAAAATCCACACTGGGAGCCATGAGAACTTGCCAATGATTCCTGCAGAAATCTAAGAAAATAATAACGAATAATGGAACATTCTTTCCTTTAAGAACTCTTGTTGGTATAATGTTATATATAGAATTAAGGCACTACTAAGAGCAGACCAACAGAAGAAGAAACGTTTATTACTTGTATGGGGTGCAATCCACGTTTGCGGTTCCCAACTCTCTCCACTGTAACAGCATGCATTCCTTCAACGAAATTAGCAGGAGTCAAGCATGCATTGACAGCATAATACCTGAAACAAGTTTTCAAAGAATTTATGTTAATCAGATTCTGAGAAATGATGGAAAGCTTTAAGTTATATCATCAGCAGAAAGAAAGCAGATAAAAGACTCACATTCATTTCTTCATCTTTCTATCGTAATGAGAAATCATCACAGTGCAAACCCCCACAACCACCTTCACCGCAGCCAAGTTTTGTTCCTGTCAATCCAACATCTTTACTAACGAAAATAACCTGATTAGGTTTTTGCTACTTTACTTTTGATTAAAACATAAAAACATTTAAACGGAGAAGGGAGAATGAAGACAAAAATGAATAGGATAAAACATAAACTCGTAACTTATTAAGAAAGAACATGTTGAACATCCTACTTGTGAGAACTCGTGAAGAAAAAGAACTTTTCACTCTAATTCGACTCTTATCTATTAATAAATCTAGCTCGGGTGTATATTTTATACACACCCAGTTTGAAGTTGAAC